ATTTTCCACCCTTATCCCTTATTTGGTGAGTAATTTTCATAGACCCAGGAAACAGGGGGCAGCCCCCCCCCCAACCTGAGAGCCGAGGGGGCGGCGCCCCCTCAACATTGAGGCAGCGAGAAAGGATCTTCCCTCCCTTTTCCGGACTTCTTGTTTCCTTTATACATCTAAACATAAACACACGGCATTTCCCTTGCCATCTGAATGGTTTCCGCTGTTACAGTATCGATTTGACATCTGCTGTTGTCATCCCGCTTTTGTTTGGGCCTGACCTTGGCCATAAGTTTGGCAGGCCAGATTTTATACTGCACCAGCTTGAGTCAACTTTGAGAAATACATAACGTACAACTGTGGTAAAATCGTTGCTATAGGTACACAGTTTACCCGCTCCGGGTGTAAGGAAGGGGTGTGGGGCAATGAGTGCACTGACGTGGCGCCCTTGGAAGGCCGGTATGGGATTAAAAGCTCAGCGACACTAAGCGCTTGTATGGTGCCTTCGGTTATCGTTAGCATCCTCAGAATCACCGGCGTAGGGCCCTCAGAGCCGCCGGTAAGGGGCCTTAAGAGGCACTGGTGTGGGAATGTCATGCAGGTGCCGGTGTGGGCGCTAAGAGGTGCTAGTGTGATTCTCTCAGAGGCGCCGGTGAGGGTCCTTACAGGCGTTGCTGTGGGCCCTCATAGACGCTGGTGTGGAGCCGTTACAGACGGGTGTGGGGCCTGAGCTGCGGACGCGAACCCTCTACAAGCCGGCAGGGGGTTCTCAGTGACCGGCAAGAGGCCCTTAGGCCAGCAGAAGAAGTTCTGTGGGGTCCTTAGAGACCGGCATGGTACTATCAGACGCCGGTGGGGCCCTGAGAGTCACCGGACCGGTGTGGGGGGCCTCAGAAGTCACCAGTGGGTGGCCTTTAGATGCGCCGGTGTTGGGTAGGGATTCGGGTCCTCACTCTCAGAGTCGCCGATATAGGGCATTAATAGGCACTAGTGTAGGCACTCAGAGTTGGGGGTGTGAAACCCTCAGAGACACCGGTGTGGGCCCTCATAAGCGCCGACGAGGGCCCCCACAGTTGCCGTTATAGGGCTCTCAGAAAAATAATTGCGGGACCATCACAGGCGGGAAATGCCCCTAGAACTGGGCCCTCATAGGCCGGTAAGAACTTTCAGAGGCCAGTAAGGGGCCTTTGGAGACCACTGAAGGGCCCTTAAAAGGCACAAGAGGCCCTCAGAATCCGGCGTGGGGCCCTTAAAGAGATATCAGTGTGACAATTTAGGGTCCATGAGGTGCTCTAATGAGCCCCATGGGGCCCTTCTATATGGCCATTGTTAACCCCCAGTGGTCAAATGGCGCCACAGGGCCCCTCGGACCCGAGGCTCCCTTTGAACCCGATGGGGAGGTGGGGTACGCGTCCCCTTAGACCCCTAGCTACGCCACCGTTTCATATGCATCATGTGAGGTATCTTATATGCTCGCCCCCCCCCCCCCCCCACCTTGAAAATCGTTCCCGGGCCCCTAGGAATTTTCCTTTGACACCCAAGCCAAAATACAATTTTGGGACACTGAGGGGAACTCCCAGTCCTAACAACGCATACTGACTTACTTCATTTTAGCTAAGGATGATAGTACCTGACCTGTATTGTTCAATGTTCATTCGCTGTTTTGCAGGAGAAAGGTCATATCATATTCTAAGTAGAAATAATATGCTAAGAAATAGACTGCTTTGAAGATAGTTACAGACGATTTAAAAACCCTCAGCAGCAGCAGCAAACCAAGGTTGAAAACACGTCTAACGTTAGAGTTGACTAGATTTCATTTTTATCTCCGGACTTCGCCTAACGATTTTATCACAATTTTATTACTATCTTAGTATCTTACTTTCCACCAGCATTGCCCTCATGTCCCTATTGGTGGAACCAAATATCCCCTCAAAAATGCCGATATCGCCCATGCCCAAGCGTTCACTATCCACCCTATCGGGTCGCCTAGAACCTCCATTAACAGATATGTATCGGGCCCCGTACATGGAATAACGTACCTTTCAAAACCCCGGCCAGCTTGGCCTATACCTGACGATGTCCCGTAAGACCTGCTAGGCAGCACCACTGGAGCAAGATGAGCTGGGAGGGGTCGGAACTCCCCCAGCTGACGTGGGAGCTGTGAAGGAATCCTCCAGCGGCCAAAGAAGACTGGCAAAGCGGGCCGGCCCCGCCGAGTGTGCCGATCCGTCGCCGTTCAGAGTCGGATGCCAACCACCAAGCCATGGAAGAAAAAAAAAACAGAATGTGTCACATAACCATTTTTAGCCGAAATCTCGTATCAAAAGGGGCTATATACGAGTATACTGGAGCCATTTATCTGACAATGCGTGTGATGACATATCAGCAGGATATGCATATTGCAGATGTCGCTTATGCATGCCTTGGCAATGCTCTATTGACCAACGACAAGAAAGGCACCTCACTCTGGCAAAAAAACAAAACGATTTACAAACGCCACACCATAAAAAACGAAACTCAGTTAACTCGTACCTCAATGCAGAGTGAGAGCCACACAATCCCGGGCTACCCTCAAACTGCATCCTAGAAAATGGCATACCTACTGCAGCCTTTAACCCTCGCATGTGTGCGGCGTTTTCCAGCTTCTAATGTGTAGGGGGGGGGGGGTCGGTTGGACCCCCCCTTGCCGTTTGGCCCCTGATTGAGCTAGAGCTTCGCGGAAAAAACGAGCGTGTTGCCCGTGACGAGAGGAAGCCGATGATACCCAATTTTAAGGTCCTAGGTCATTGGTTGACCTTCCAGGTCAGGTCAATGACCCAAAATCGGGAAAATCGGGACCTGTTAGAAAGTCGTTAAGTGTGGCTGCTAAGGGGTTTTTCGGGGTGCTGATCACGAATATTGTGTTAGTTTTGATCACAGATGATGTCTTTAAGCATTTAGACCAGGTCGGGTCAGGTCAGGTCAGGTCAACCAGTAGGCGTCGGGACGGGTATTCGTAGTACGTGTCAACCGCCTCTGACAGCTTCGTAACATGTTACGAAGTCACCAAAACTACTTCGTAAATGTTCAAATGGTTGCTAAATTCGAATTCAGCTCCAAAAACTAGCCTATAAACATGTAAAACTCGAAAAAGTGAACCGAGGTCACCCGAGGTCACCAAAGGTCAATGACCTGACCTGACCTTCAGGTGACCTTGACACCCACCCTAATGTATGGGAGCAACATCAAATCACATGTTTGAACGTTTGAAACCACGAAAAGCTTGCAAACGCGCGGCTAATGCGAGCCGACATACGCAAAATCGCGATTCCGGCCAAACATGGTCTCGGGAAAGAGGTCACAGGTCAAAGGTCATTTGGGTCAGGGTCATGAAATTTTCAGGGTAGGTGTAAAATTGATCAATGCGAGGGTACTGAAAGTTTCGTCGCGATCGGCCGCTTTTTACGCGAGTTATTCGCGAAAAACCATGGGGGGGGTCCATCCGACCCCCCCCCCTACACATGCGAGGGTTAAACATGGGTGTGAAAACTTCCTCTGGGTAATAGCCTGTAACTTCCTAGGCTATCGCTAATGCATCCCAAAACCACCTTACATGATTCCCCATCTAATCCATAATATCCTAGTCCGCCGAGACTTATCATACCCAAACTGGGTTCCACTGTACCACCTCTGTATCTCTGTATCACCCACTAAACCTTTCATTCCAACCTATCAACACCAGATAACAATACCATCTTAGACAAATACCATTGCATTGGTTATCCTTACAATGAACTCCATTTACCCTCTCAAGTCTCACCCTTTATGGTAGTTGGTACCCTTGTTATCAACAATCTCTAACCCATTAATGAAGACCCCGCTCGGACACGCTCGGACAGAGCCAACATCACCAGCAGCTCATTCTCCACGGGGTACGCCCACCTGGCACACCTTACGCCAGTAACCGTTCACCTGTATGGGAACCACAGTTCAACCAACACCAGGTACCACAAACGGCAATTCTACCAACTCTCTGCACAACCACCGGCCAACACCACGTGGCCACCAAACCCTACGCCGGCCAGGCCGTGCACTCTGAGCTGCTACACCGAGAAAGCATGAGCTGATTTCACTCACACGGAGTGTAAATGGCAAAGTCCGGCGCTCCGTTCCAGGGAAGAAACAAAAAGCAGTTACAGCTATGTTACACCTAGCAAATACCTACACTCAATCTCCCAAAATCTGAAAAACACACCAAACCTATTTCTACCAGCAGTCCAAGTTTCGTTGTTTCATCTAACCTTCAAAGAACCTATAATACCGGGCATTTGCCGACCCCTTGCTCATCGACCCTCTTCTTACCGTGATAGCATAACATAAGCACAAAAATAACCAAACCTCATGCCGAAAATGGGAAAAAAATCAGACAGAAACAACAAACCAGTAAAAAATAAACATAAAAACCCCGAAAGGAAAAAACATCCTCGTCAATCAATATAACATTGATATAAAACCGAACTTATACTTCCCTTGATGTCTTCCAGTTTCCACTGAACACGACCACAGTAAACGCAAAAACATTTCAGAGCGAGAACACTGCTGACTTGCGTCAGACCGGGCGGCTTAGAACAGAGTGACCACGCAAATGCACTCAAACCCCGCGCCATCACCGTCACGTGACACGAGTCGCTCCACCAATCAGAGGAGGCCGCCGCCTTAGCGGCCTTGCCGCCCGGGGGCGCAGGCGGCCGCCCGCCTGCCGCCGAACGCTGCTCGCAGAGGTCGGCCCGGCTCCGGGGCCGCCCCAGAGAAGACGCTCGTAGTGTCGCGGAAAAACCGGTTATATCTTGTCATATATAACCGGGCGTATTTTCTTACCATTCGAGTAAAGCACATTGTGATGAAGTGTCTAGCTTTGGGTAGATGTGACGTCTCACGCTCCTATTTCTGACATGCTTTTTGTTTGATGAGCAACGTCCATCTGTCAAAACCCAACGGCGGAACAGCTGACGGAACTGATGACGTCACAGGTGTAAAGGACACCCCGGCGGGGCTGGCCACGCGGCTCTTCTTCTGGGTGTTCTACATGACGATGGTGACGCTGTCAGCCGCCTACTCGGCAACACTAGTGTCCTCGCTGGCGGTACGAACGTACCCGCTGCCCTTCCAGGACCTGCACGGGCTGGTACGAACCAACACACACCGACTAGTGCTGCCCGACGCATCTGCACTGCTCGATTTCTTCAAGGTGAGGCGGGATAGGGTATGTCCAGAGTATATAGAACACAAAGGTATGCTAGTTGTTCTACGCACGGGCGACTGAGCCGCGGGTGTGAAGGGCAAGATCATGCGCCAAAGGCTGGCCCAATGTCCCAGTGTGTTATTTTTTTTTATAAATTTAGCTCGAATGTTTGAATGGACGGATTGACAGAGCCGGAGCCCACGCTAAGCAGAGCTTGTTGCGTAGACCCCGATCCCTACCGTCCGATCGCGCAATTCCGGGTAACGGGAGAATTTAGATACCAAAGTTTAACGTCCCCTTCAAAGCCGGACACGGCCTGTCCCACTCAACTGACTTCAACTGGCTGCGGCTGCTCCCACCAACCGCAGACCATCCCCGTCAGGAGTCTCAAATATCGAGCGCCGGAGCGTCTCGAACCCGGGCTCTCACTACCGGGAGTCCAATGCTCTACCAACTGAGCTACGGGACAGGCTTATTGTGGATGCAAGAGATACAATTGTATTATTTGGCGAATCATCCCTGAATAGGTGATACTGAATTCACCGAAATGCTCACCTCACCTCATTCCCATTTCAGGATTCTCAAGTGCCTCTTCTTCAGGAAGTCTACAGAAGTCATTCAGTTGTGTTGGGGTCCGTAACTAATGGTGTGGAGCAGCTGTTGAGTGGAAAGAACGTTGCCGTCTTCTCCACATACTTCGGTGAGCATCCTTACTATCCTGCTAGGTAAATACTGCCCTGCTTTGCCAGAAACCCAGGCTGGTTTGTGTTATGCCAGTTGATACTGCTACGTCTTTGCTTATGCCACCCTCAGTCAGGCAGTGTCGACCTACGTGGCTCAAGCTCTACTGTGGACGTCAAACCGCGTGGGACGCGACTTTTTCGCAATAACTTTTGAATGCGTTGCCTCTCAAGAACGAACCTTCGGCAATGAACGTTTCAGACCCCGGCCTAATTTTTATTACTAAGGTTTTTCAATGTCCGACCAATATTTAGGGCACTTCCCGTTCACTCGTAATGTTAAATTTTGCTCCTGAAACTCTCTCGGTGAGCAGAGGCTACTCCACAAGGGGCGGAGCCATAGTGTGACGTTGGAGCTAAGCTCCGCCTCGGCTGGCCGTTGCCTGAGGCGCTACCTGACCCGAGACCGGTCAGTCGCGGTCCGTAGGGGTTGGTACGCGGTGCTTCCTGCCAACACACCCAGCCGCATGGCGTACGTTATTCATGCTTGCCCGGCGAATGCATGGCGAATGTGCATGGCGAATGATGGCTCAAATATCTACCAACATAGAGTATTCTTTTTAGAATGGACCGAGTGTTGACTGTTCGTTCTTCTATCAATGAAATATTTTCTTCGACTCGCTAAGAATGTCACCCAGATAGGAAGACTATACGCGTACGCCAAATATTACGATGATTTAAGAATAACAGAAAATAATTAAATGATTATTTAATAAGTTTGTCAACGTAATTACGTAAATGAGATACATAATAATATAATATATTTATACAGTCAAGTTAATTTTTTTAATTAACATTTTAATTTTAGGTTCTTGTACCTAGATATCAAACCGCCAGGAACGTTAGTACACTTCGTGTTATCCTGCCAAGCCCCAATATGCCCCAACTTAAATGTTTCCGTAATGCACCGGTACGCATAGCCGGAGGGGAGCCGGATCCGCCGGAGCCGTCATATTTTGCCCTGAGTGGGAGCCGGAGCCGTATTGCCATTTTACTCGGAGCCGGAGCCGGGGCTGAAGCTGACTCAAATGTTCAAGGCTCTGCATCCCTGCTGCTAAGTCAATAATTCGTATAGTTAATTTGGTAAAGGGCCATACTGAACAATCTCGTTTTTTTCTCGGATTAAAAAACCTGGTAAAAGGCCATACTGAACAATCTCTGTTTCGAGATGTCCGCCCATCTGAGACCCGACGCACATAGCATGCAGAACCGGTTCTGAGTGAGGATCGACCGACAGATGGCAGTCGTGTCTGAACGGTAGATGGCAGGGAATTCGTAGTTAGTAGGCGGGGCTTCGCGAGCAGCCTGACGATAGCCGCCATCCGGGCTGATATTTCACTTAGCATTACGAGTGAACGGGAAGTACCCTAAATATTTATTTGACATTAAAAAACCTTAATAATAAAAATTAGGCCGGGGTCTGAAATGTCCATTGCCGAAGTTTCGTTCTTGAGAGGCAACGTATTCAAAAGTTATTGCGAAAAAGTCGCGTCCCACGCGGTTTGACGTCCACAGTAGGTGGCTCCATCAAACAAGCATGCTAACAAACAATCTTAATCAGCGTCTTCTTTATAAGAACTTGTGAACTTTGTTCGTTTTTTTAACTTGTGAAGTCGTGAAATCGTACAACTTCGTAGCTTCTGTTGCGCTGCGCGCATCCAGCTGTCACGTTTGTTGCACCGTTGCAGGCCCCAACCATAAGCCCTGCAGCATGGTCGACCTCGGTAATGACTACATGATCAGCCAGGCGTCGCTGGCGCTTCAGCGGCACTCGCCCTACCGAGCTTTCTTTGACTACTAGTGAGTCTCTAAATGTTGGCGGCTGACATAAAGCCAGTAGGTATTAAGTCTGTGAGAGCATTTGTTGGATAATTACTTATGAGCACATATCTACCGCAGCAACATGACAGGTGCTGCACACTATAATCTTTCTTTGAACTCAAAATGCAAATAAACCTACTGTACTTACAATGAAGCAAATGGTTTAATCAATGTTTTTGCTAAAGCAAGCATGCCCACGCGTAAACTCTTGACCAGTCATTCTTTTGTGAGTCGTGACAACATACACTCAGAAGCGAACAGCTGTTCAAACACCCGATGCTCGCAGTTGAGTAACGAACGTTTCTCGTCCCGCCTCGACAGTTTGGCACGGATGCGGGAGCTGGGAATTCTGGATCAGCTGAACGGAAGGTTTCTAAGCTTGCCGAGAAAGGCCTGCAAGAGCAGCGACTCACAGGTAGTACAAACCTGAGTGCATATTTACCAACGAACATGTGCAATGACATGCTAACTAAAGATGGTCGTTCGTCGACCCCTAAACACTTGAACGAAATCGTGATGGTTATGCGTCGCAATTCGTCTCTGGTCGTTATTTAAGACACATCTGAATATATCTTATATTTTGTTTAAAAATAAATGCAAGACAGTCTTTAAAACGACAGACCATTGCGTGCTGTGTATGTGACTGGCTGACGGGTTGGACACACCGGTGATTGGTGGTGTTGTTATTGTCACCGCTCTACGTTTCTCTCCCCAGGGCCTGTCACTGTCGTCCGTCTTCTCAGCGTTTGTTTTCCTAGCGACTGCTACACTCGCCAGTGTGGTCGGCCTTGCTGTCGAGCATCTGTACGTCCGCCATCACAACAGCCGTACGCCCAAGTGATGACTGCCATTCGTGATATTTTATTGCTGTTTTAATGTCTACGAAATATATATTTAAATCACCTTAGCGAATGTCGAGGCCTTACAATGGAAAACATGAAGCTGTATGTCGCAATGTATCTGAGATGCGTTTTTATGTAGGCAGGTATTATACCCAAACGAATCGAGTTGATCATTCTTCTATAATCATTATTCGAATTTTTTTCTGATATTTATTTTACACCCACCTCCGTGCTTTGCGTCAGGCGTCCTTGGTGTGTCACTTGACCTGCCAAATGGTTAGGATATTGGACGAGCCTGCTCGCGGAGGCTGGTACTAGAGTTGGCCTCCTTGAGTGATTGATTTTAAGCCAAAATGAGCCATAATTCACTCAGAAGTATGGTTATTAACTTGCCGTCTTAATTTGAATCGCTTTGATAGTAATTTGCTCCCCGAGTTCTCCATCGGTAATGAGCTATGAGGCTGCATTTGGGTTGTATCGGAATAATTACTGTAACGTTTTAACACTTAGAAGTTAATTTGATTATGATAAGAGATGATATTACTGATAGTATGATTATGATAATGATTTATTATGGTAATACTGATCTATGCCATCAAAACCCAATCCGATTTTACACGACGGCTGATAATAGCGTAATACTGAAAATAGCGTAATAAAAGCTATATCATTATCTGCATACAGTCTCATATCGTGTGTTCTCCAAGTTATGCGGCAGATTGACCTCCTTTCGGGGTGGAATTTCTACCTGCGTCTCTGACGCCACGTGGTCCCAGTAGCGGACTGAACCCTTCGAGTGGGACCATCAGACGGGCTCGGGACACGCACGGGTCTCACGGGAGCATAGCAGTGTTCGACGACCCCTGTCTGCACGCGACGGCGACAGGCCGACACGCATAGTGCGCAGACAGAGACACGAAGCAGATCAGAGAGGGTCGGCAAACACGAGCTGAAGACGCCGACACGCTGTATTAGTGATGTATGTACGAGTATGGACGTGGGGTGACAGTAGCGGGAATATGCGCGTCTTGAGCTTATCGCTCAGGCTGGAAATGGGCTGACGCATGGGATTTTGAGATAAACGATAGAATCGCAAACTGCAGCGCTCACTGAACCGAACATCATAGCCTTGTACTTTGTAGTCAACATTTCGCACTTAATCATTATATCAATCAATAATGTTTGGTGACCACCCAGCTGCGATTGAATGATGTTTTCAGTGATTTCGCCAGCGCTGGATTTTCTTGGACTTAAATAGTGCCCTGACTTTATTTGCGGCAATGCAACTAACGTCCAGTTCTGGTAAAACATGAGGCATTGTTTACATTCATGTGAGACATATTGTGTTAAGAAACTGTGCTATGATGAAACAAGACAACACTTGAGCTTTTGGGCTCACCACGAACAATGCTCACGGTTTTTACACAATAAAAGCTATGAAAACTATTGCACTGTTGAACGTTTATCTGACGAAGTCAGTCGTGTGAGAGGGACACATCATCTGCCGAGATAAGATCCATAGATATTATCTTGTACGTGCACACACATTACACATGTGCTCGGTGTCAAATATAGACCTAATTAACTCCGTCTGCCACACATGTTATTCTAACAAGATTAAGAAAACAGATTATGATTCATATCCCATAAACGAGCAAATTTACACAAAAAAGCCAAGGTCAAGCTTCCACAAGAAGTGCCATGCTACAAACCCATTCAAGCTCCAAAATCTCTCCTCTATGAATATCATTGGATCGGTTCATTCTTCAATCCCGCTAAATGTCCCGGGTCCTACTAGATGCGCCGGTCTGGTCCCCTCGGATCCTGCGTGATCAAGTACCGCACTGTATGTTACAGAACACATTGCAGACGTAACACGTGCTGCATTGTAATGCCCTGCTCTGGTGGTCTCAGGTCCAGTGTAAAATCCTGCACCGGTAGCCTTAGGTCTTTTGCGATGCCCTTCCCCTGCCTGCTGTCTTGTGTTCTGCGCTGTTCTGATGGTCTCAGGCCCTGTGCAATGTCCTACTCTGGTGGTCTCAGGTCCTGTGTAATATCCTGTACCGGTAGCCTCAGGTCTTGCGATGTAATATCCTACCTCAGAGATCATATTATATGCCCCACTCTGGTAGCCTCACAAAGAGTATTACAACCTGCTTTGGTAACCTCAGATCCTGTGTTGTGCCCTGTCCCAACTTTGCTAACTCCTCAAGCTTAACAAAGCTAGGTGAAGCTGTTAAGTAGCCTCAGATCCTGCCTAGTGCCCGGCCCTGATCGCCGCCGGCCCACTCGGAACTAATGATCACCTGCGGCGGGGTGTGGCGGTGCGGCCTGCCCCCAGCGCAGCCCCGCTCACAGACGGGGCTCGACCCGTCCTCACTGTGGGGCGAGGTCTCGGGTGGCGGCGCCTTCCGGCCGCCGTAGCGCGGGGAGACGACCGACACCTTTCGGGAGGCGTCCGGCCGGCGGGCCACCAGCAGCAGTTCTGCAGGGGACAGCGGCGTGGTCGACGATCTCGATACGGCGTCAAACAGCGGCGACGTGTGTCTGGGAGGAGAGGTGCCGGGCGACCGGGCTGCCGAGGAAGTAGGCGATTTTTTGGACAAGAAGCTTTTTCTTTTCTGAGGAGCGTTGGTCGGTTGTGAGTTTCCGGCAGGAATAGGGGCTGTGGTTGGCTGAAAGGCCGTGTCTGATAGAGGAGTTGAGGCTGACAAGGAGGCTGAGCCTGACAGTGGGGTTGTGTCTGACATCGGAGTGGCGCTCGCTGGTTGTGCGGGGGTCTCCACCTGCGCCTCGGCTGGTCTGGCGCCGTCTGGAGCATCTGTCGTCCGGCGGGGAGGCAGCGGCTCGCCTGCAATCGACGGTTTGCCGCCGCAGAGGACGCCCTGCTGGTGGCTGCAGATTCTCAGCCAGTTGGGCCGGCAGCCGGCCACGGCCGCGGCCGTGCTGTCGCCGCGGTCCTCGCTGCGCTGCTGACGGAGTGAGTCGGTCGGTTGGCGCCGCCGACGCCGCCGGCGCAGGATGTAGAACACGCCGAAGTTGAGCGCGCCGCCCAGGTTGCAAAAGGTGGTGGTCAGGTGGTGCAGGAGGACCGGCGGCGGCTCGAACAGCTGCCACAGGCCCCACAGCACCGACGTCCACCACTGGATGAAGAACGCCGACACGAACAGCATGCCGGTGCGCGCTGCCTGCGGCGCCGCCTCCTGGGGCTTGCACGTGGCGCCGAGCACGGCACGCGTCCGGCGCTCCTCCTGGCGGATCTTACGGAACGTGAGCACGTACAGCAGCACGTTCATCGAGAACAGGATCACCAGGGGCGCCACGGAGAAGACCAGGTGCGGCACCACGCCGGCCACCGGGTCGAAGTAGCAGAAGGAGCCGGTCGGTCCGTACGCGCCGGTCACCAGACAGCCGATGTCGATGAGCAGCGAGCCGCCGAACGTATAGAGCAGCTGGCGCCAGTCTCGCGCGCCCCACTCCACCATGCGCTCGCGGTGGATGGTGACGCACGCGCTGACGGCGATCAGGTTGACCAGCAGGTGCTGCGCGCAGATGAACTCGCTGATGACGAACGCGTACAGCTGGCACAGCCAGGCGGGTCGCACGTGGTCGCGCAGCAACAGGTAGTGCGCGTGGTCGAACAGGTGCGCCAGGTTGAAGCAGCCGTCGCACACGGCCAGGTAGACGATGTTGCGCTCGCCCTGGGTCCAGTCGAAGAAGCGCGCGCCGCGGCCGCGCACCCAGTGACTGCGCACCGACCAGGCCACGGTGGCCACGGCGCACAGCAGGCTGATGGTGATGCACAGGATGGCCGGCACGTGGATGTTGAGCAGCAGGCCGTCGGCCAGCCCGTACACGGGCAGGTCGTACCCGCTGCGCGGCGGTCGGGCCGTGCTATTCGACATTGTTTCCCTCCTGGCGGTGCAATGTCAGAACTGTCCGCGAGCTGTGAAGGCAGAGCGGGGCCTTAGTCCTACCTGGGCGGTAAATTCCGTACCTTGTAATGCATAACAACCGCAACCGGTTTAAAGGAAGACTGCCACCTTCAAAAAGTTTTCTCAGATCGGCCTATGATTTATTCCCTGGACAAAACAAAATTTTAGAATTCACCTGACAAAGTATCATCACGTGAATCGCGAAAAAAATTGTCGATTTTCATACAAAATTATCAATCGGTTAATGTCTAGCGACAATGTTTACACATCACTAGACTTCAAGGTGATAAGAGATCATCATTTTAGTTGAAAAAGTAAGGTATTTTATAATTTACTAATATATGATTTCATGAGAAATTGGCCATGTTTAATTTATTTTGCATTTAAGTTCGTAAAACATTAAAAAAATCATGGCTCATTTGGAATGGGTCTGGCCCATGTTAAACCCCATTTCCCACACTTTTTTGGAAAAAATGAACTACTGAATATATAAGTTTAACTTTTATTTTGACACTCCAAAATTCTTCTCTGATCTCGAAACAATCAAAGTTTTGGCATATATTTACCAAAAGATAAGAAAATTCATGTTTCAAAGTTATCGATAAACAGTAGAGATGTCGGTTTTCTTGGACTAAAAAAATGGCATCAAACTGAACTTTGGTCTCCGATTTCTCGCAAACGGGTTCGAATTTCGGAAAACCGACTTCAGTCTGGGACATAGGTGGCTCAGCTCTAGTGAAAACCGTTTTGTGGAAAAAAGGTGGCAGTCTACCTTTAAATGACCTCACGCATTGACAGGATAGACGAATATTTCTTTTCCATTTCAAGCTTCTTCGCCATGACAGAAGCTATTGAGCTGACCTAAATGTTTCTTTTTACAGACAAAAATGAAACAGCGCACCGTCATTTTAGACAAAAATTTGAAATAAGTTTATCCTTCTGGCAATAAAAAATATGATCCACGTTATCTAATGTCGGGTCACCAGATCACGCCAAATGACCTCATCTCGAGAAAAAATAAATGCTCGCCATTGCCACATCGACTGAAAACGACTGGCTTGGAAAATTTCGGTGCTTGATCAGAGTGACAAGATGCAAGTTGTTTCTGAATACATTATATTGGTTACCC